TAGCTGACGGTCTAGCTGTTCGGGCTGCTCATACGGGATTAGCTGGCGGTCTAGCTGTTCGGGCTGCTCATACGGGATTAGCTGGCGGTCTAGCTGTTCGGGCTGCTCATACAGGATGATCTGAAACTATGATTATAAAAAGGCTCCTACCATGGCCCAGTCGATGATCCACTTCTCTAAGGTCAGCAGCTGCCAGCCCCCTGTGAACCTGGAACTTGAAGTCAAGGAGGCATCAGCATCATTAAAACTCATGTGACTGAGCCAGTGAGGCTGGCGGGGGGGCGGACCGGGCCAGACCCGGTGCTGGGCACCGACGCCCTGGGAGGATACAGGGATGCATAGAATAAACTCTGCTTCAGGGTGCCATTGTAGTGCAGGATCAGCAGGAGCAGGATGGCATCTGGGAGCATAAAGAGTCACATGATCACTCAGTAACACACACAGTCACAGAGTAACAGAGACAGACTCACAGCAACACACAGACTCACAGCAACACACACAGTCACAAAGTAACAGACAGACTCACAGTAATACACACAGACACAAAGTAACAGAGACAGACTCACAGTAATGCACACGGCTACTGAGACTCACATTAACACAGACACAGACCTTGAGCGATCAGAATGGGGTACTCCAGGTAGGTGGGCAGCGGGTACTCATAGTAAACCTGGTAAGTGTTGAACACAATGAACCTGGAAAACGAAAAGGGGTCATAGATCAGGGAAGGATAGCAGGAGAAACATGGAGCTGGGGGCGACTGGGTTCATGGCGAGGGGAGTAGATCTCAGCGTACGCTGGGATCTCGGCATGTTCTTGGATTTCGGCGTGTGCTGGGATCTCGGCCTGTCCTGGCATCTCGGCCTGTCCTGGGTGTTCGGAGTGTCCTGGGTACTTTCTTGTACTTTTCCCCTGCATCTACGAGTCACCAGTAGGGAGGAGTACAGACTTGGGAGTGGTGGTCATGCGGAAGCCACATGGACATCTGTCTGTATTAGACATGCTCTATCCAACCCTCAGCTGCACAGACATGGCAGCCCAATCAAAAGCATACATGCAGCCATAGGCACATAGTTATGGATGGTGGTCACATGACATTATGAGAACACACACCCCCCTCCTGACAGCTAACCTAGGACAGGTCACAGGGGCCAAGAGCCTGTGTCAGGCAGAGATTCACACTGGACAGGGTGCCAGTTCATCACAGGGCACTTACACTCAGTACAAAAATACTGAGTACAATCAAATAGCCTAAATGATTGTATTTGCACTGCAGGAAAAAACCTGTGCATTACAGGAAAGCATGCAAGCGGATTACCGGGAACTTGTGTGTTTTCACGGGTGACATCACTGGGACACGCCCAACGCCCTGAGGAGGCACACGTGTTATCGGGATACCCCCGACCCGCACAATCCCTGCCGTGTAAGCATCCTTAGATTGTGTCACCGATTGTAAAAACACAAACACACTAATTTAACAGTTTATGTTTTAAGACGGTACACCCATCTGAAAAATCATCATAGACTAGCATATGTTGTGTCTTGGTGCTGGTAGACCAGCCCAGCATCAGCTAAACCAGCACCAACCAGTATGGAAATCATGCTGGTCTATGCTGTTTTTTCAGCAGGGCAGTTGTTAGACACTTGCGTTTTGGATGCCACTTAACAAGGGTTCAAGTATATTTAAAATCGAATCGTCGATTCTATCAGCAACGGTGTGGTCATGTAGTCTCTAAAATTGAACAAGTTACTTTATATGATGAGGTCTTCCTTTAACTTAGATAACGCACAGAATGTTGCAAGGGAATGGCGATTTAAGAAAAGTCACAAATAAGAGTTGCGAGGTACAGAAACAGGAAACGGGATCCGCACCGCCGGCAGCAGGCAGCCTGGGCTGCCCCGTTAATGAAAGTGATCCGCAGCCGGGGAAAATGATGCTAGGTGTTTTTTTTTTTAATTAGCGTTGGGTTAACTAGGGGTAGCGGGTGTACCCACCGGACCACACTGCCTTACCCGATGAGCTCCAGGATCAGGCTCTGCAGGCTGACACCTTCGGAGGATTTGCTCTGCATCAGCGCGAACATCTGCGGGAATTTCAGCACCATGCAGACGAGGAGCGTGCTCAGGTTTGCAAAATGCAGCATGCCGCTAACACTCATATCTAACCGGCGTGGAGGTCGGCGCTTCTTCCTCGTTTCGGGCGTCTGACTCTGTACGGTACCTCGGCACGGCACTTCAGCCTGCTTTTGATTTCGCTTCCGCACACATCAGCGCGGTGCTTTCTGTTCTCCCGAGGCATCCGTGGCATGGGCGGCGTCACGCGACCGCATGAGTGACGTCGCCTGAGGGTGGGTGTTACTCAAGAACTTAAATATGCATAAGGTTAGTTTCTTGAGACATTTAAAATACCTATTAATTAAACCTAAAGAATATGTGATGATGCACGATGCACGGTATAGAAGTGCAATACATTTTCTTAAGAATGCTTGTATAAATTAAAAATGGCCAGACGTTGCCTGTAGAAATATATTTATTGGGGATATTAACTTGTGGGACGATAGATGTAACAACCAGCATATTAGGAATTCCCTTTGCCAGCCAACAGTTCCCTCCGCAAAACTCTTTTGGACTTCCCTGTTTGATGACGTAGATTGGAAGAAAGCATGGAAATTGTTAAATCAATATTGCATCCAAAATAAGGTTAAAGAAATTTCATTTAAAATATTAGAAAGGCTCAAACAAGAGAGATATTACAATTGTGATTTTTGTGGGATGGAAACAGAATCTACTACTCATTTCTTTTTTAAATGCATCCATACAAGAATGTTTTGGATAGATTTTATTAGCAGGAAAATTGGAAGGAAAGTGACAGTTGAAATGTTTGACGTTTTTATTTTATTTTAATTTATTTCAATTTAATTTTAATTTTAAATAAGGTGTTAAGAGCAGACATTATTCGTGATTCAGTTATTTATTGCATATGGAAAATTCCACATTCATAAGAAAGATCTAAACCCAACTTTTTCCATTTTTCAATGAAATTAAGCAGTTTGGCACAACTTTAGTTAAGTGTATTCTTTTCACTCTTGGCTTTGTTAATGTTTTATGTGCATGACATTTCCTTTATGTTGTAATATTGTTCATTATTATGTGCTGGATGCAGAAGTATATTACATCCCTGCTTTAGTTGTGCTTGGTGAAAGTGGGCGTGCAAGATCAGTTCTTACAGTAACTGTTTGTCTGCCCATTGATGGCTTTCAGTTTTTTCTTTATGACAAAATTAACGAGAACCTTTAGAGCTCCCAAATTATCCATTGTTGGTAAATGATGAAACTTACTGAAAGGAGCAAGAATATATTTTTTTCGATTTAGAATTTCTTGAATAGCTTCAGAAGTATCTTAGAGAACCCACAAGGGGGGTATGTTTCACATGTGCTGCTTGGCACTACAGCAAATGTCCTGATCAACTGTGAAAGAAGATTTATTTAAAAGACTTACAAAACTGTATAAAAATAGAGTACAAAATGAAGGATAAGCTGACTGCTATCAAAGCTACCATCTATAACACTCGAATTAATGAGAGTGTTGGCAAAAGAGTAGAAAGTAGAGATTTAGAAATAATTTTAGAGACCCTGTATCATTTTTTCCCCGTTTCTTCCTATGCGAAGTGTTTCACTGCTTTGGGATCAGTGAACTGCTCCGCGATACCCTGAAGTCCGGCTGCTCTCCATGCAGTGGAATGGTTCTGTGGGCTGCTGGGCTTCGGCCCGCTTCTAGCAGGGCTGCATGTCCGGGTCCAGCTTGGCCTTTCGGTGACTCCTGCGCAACACTGCCAGGTTGTCCAGGCGGACCAGGGCCTGTCCCAGGTCAGTCCCCACGCGGCTTCCGAACGTCTGGTTGGCCGTGTTGGGGACGAGGTCTGAGAACACTGGGACATAGCTGGGGAGGGGTGTCTCCTTCCGGGGGCGACCCTAAAGTCA